TTTTTTTTTTTTTTTGTTAAGAGCACAGCCGGCTAGTCCAACGAAATGGCGTTTCGAAAGTCCGTACGAACAGCACCAAGACTGGTTTAAACCGTGAATTGAAGTATACCCGCCCCGCACAACCGGAATTAATTAACTGACTGGCTGATTGATTGATTGATTGGCTGATTGGTTGGTCGGAAGGTTGAAGCTATAGGTGTATATACGAAGGTAGCTTCTGTCTAAGACTGGAATCCAGACTAGCAAAACTAACAACGGTCTAATCACTTGATCTAATAACAGCACGGCCCTTTGCAATCTTCAGAATTCTGGAACAGGAGAGAGAGAAAATAACAATTACATCAATTGCTCTCCATCTTGGGTGCTTCCTGGCTTTGGCATTGGAGATCGATAGCTGAGAGGTACTCAAACCAAGTAAGTACTATCTTTTAAGGTGACGACCCCGTCAACTCGTCTTAGCTAACGGCAGTTCGGCTGACTGGCCAGGGTCCCATTGCATTGAAGCCTAGATGTTTGTCAAACGGGGTTCCACTTACTCAGAATCAAGCCATCACAGTACAGTGCTACGGTGCAGTACGGTGCGTTAGGTACAGCTGTACAGTACAGCGCAGCGTGGTGCACTGCAGTGCAAAGCTTTGAATCCAAAGCCTCCTCTTCTAGGTTCCTCCTCGTCGCAAGACATCGTAGCCTGTATTGGCTGGTCTTGATGATTGTAATCTACAACTATAGAATCCCGCTACTTCGGAACCTCTTCAGTCTCCACATTTCGTCCTAGGCCTGTGCCTTTCATTGGCAAGATTCCAAACCCACTCGGAACAAAGAATAAGAACGGGGTGTGAACAGGGCAGAGTTCATAACCGATTATTAAGCACAGATCCCCGTCTGAAACTCAAGACTTGCTGCGAAGCCAAGTTGCAATCGCAGAATCACCTCCTCAAAGCTAAGTAGCCTCGGCCAAAAGCTGTTGTTCAGCAACTTTAGGGAATCATGTCGATATCACAAATTCTAAACGGTAGAGGATATTCTGAGATGCCTCCTCCCGATCAAGCTTCGTATCCGACCATGACACAGCAATCTCCGCCGCCTTCAACGACCACGTCTCGCCAGGGCCCACCTAAGCAGATCCACCGAAACCGAGCACAACACATATGCCACTCATGTCGACGGCGGAAAGTGAAATGCGACAGGCAGCACCCCGTCTGTGGCGGTTGTGCGAAGATGGGAGTACCATGCGAGTGGAGCGATAATTCGCAGATATCAGGGAAAGATAACACCAAGCAATCGTCGAGTTCGCAGCAGCCACCGCCAAATGGGGCCAGCATGTCGCCTCAGGTCTACAATGGAGGGAACATGCCGCCTCCAGTTTTAAATCCCAGTCAAGCTCCATTGCCAAAACGTGGGCATAAACGTCAGAGAACACACCCGGATGCTGCAATATCAGAGGAGTCGGATTCATTTTCCGATGACCAGAGATTCGATGTTACCAGGCACGCTTTTGGAAGAGATTCAATGCCCTTTTACCCCGGTGGGCTTGGGAGAAGTAATTCTGGGGCAGGAGGAGGAGGGCGTCCTGTGGAGGACTTACTCGAGGTTCGATTGGGACGGCTGGCAGAGATTGTAGATAAGTGGTGTAGAGAAACCTATCTGGGTGGTGGAGCACCTCCGCAGGGTGGTCTTAATCATGAAAGCCTTATGAAAGACCTAAAGGACCTCCAAGCGATTACGAAACGGAGAGGGAGCACAAGTACTGAACCTATAACCACCACATCTTCCGTTCCTCCGCCGTGGGAGAACGCCCAAAGCGACTATAGCCCCTATAGGCAGGATACACAGTTACCTGGAGGCCTGAGAAGTCCGAGCACTAGTGCTATGGATACTTCTGAATCGGTTACCCATACCGAAGATCTTCCAATGAGCCCCTTCAACGACCCTCCCGCCCCGATGGAACATTTTGACAACAATTTGAATATACCTGGTCAAGAGAAGATCCCAACAAACTGGCAAGCATTTCGTTCGAAGGGTATGGAGGATCTATCGAACTTATTTGACCAGTCGACTGAGCAAACAAACGAAGAACGAAATCTGGAAGATGTAATTGACCCTCGGATTAAAGGGCCACCAACTACACCAAAGGCTCGAAAGGGGAAAAGAGGACAACAGCAGGGCCCTAACCCGTCTGTTAACCCAACCGAAGATGATGACCTATCTCTTGGCCATTTAAGCATACAAGAAGATGGAAGAACGAGATATGTTGGTAGCACATTTTGGGCTTTTATAAGCAATGAAATAACAGAGCTCAACCAAGTTCTACAGTCGCAAAACGATAACACGGCGGAGAAACAGATGACACCGAATGGGGAGCCAAACCCCAAAACTTGTAACCTTATGGAAGATGAAGAAAAGTGTTCTGGTACTGAGAACGAAGGCCACAATAATGAGAATCACGCCAATAGGGTTCAAAAGCTGACTACACCCCCGGACTCGGTTGTTTCTAGTAAGCCATCTCCAGCAGAATACCCGGTACATCCTTCCCACGAGATGACGAGAATTATGGCTGCCCTTGATGACGGACATGACAATGATCACCGAATGCCTGTCAATCCAAAGAGAGACATGTCCCGATTCAAGATCCTCCCAGAGAACTCGACGATGTGCACAGCTGCTAAGCTACAAGCTGGTTTTGCGCCGGAACTTCAAGCACGACAAATGGTCTGGTTTTTGAGATACCTCCCACTTGAGCACCAGTCACACGCTCTTTATAAGGCTTTTCTAAGTGGTGTCCACCCTGTGGTCCCACTTCTACACGCACCTTCCTTCAATAAAGACTATACCAACTTCTGGAAGTTAAAAGAGCATGAAACGACAGATGACATCCATTTCAGCCCGACGTTTATCCCGCTACTATTCGCGGTGTTGTTCACCGGCGCTCTATCTATATCGAATAGAAAATTTCAGGAGGTGTTCCCTGAGAAGGACCATTCGCGCAATACTATCACTGGGCATTTGAACAGGGCAGCTCATGGGGCACTCGCCATAACGGCTTTTCCTCGAGGTCCAACCCTTTCATCTCTTATTGCGTATTTACTACTTCACACCTGCAAAATTCGGGAGGAGGAACCTTTGACATCCTATTCTTTCGTTGGTGTTGCCATGAGGGCAGCTCAGAGTGCCGGGCTCCACAGGGAGCCGAGCAGTTTTAGAGGGTTAAACGAAGTTGAAAGAGAAGTTCGGCGACGGATCTGGTGGCATATAATATATCTAGATGTACAGGCTGCCATAGCTACGGGATTACCACCGCTCGGTGGGAGTGATGAATCTGCATTCGACACTCAGATGGTGAGTGAACTTAAGGACGAGTATATCGGAGCACCGAGTCCTGTTACGGCCGAAGATATCAAGAAAGACGAAGCTGCGGTGATGAATAGTTGTACGGGTCTACCGGATGGCCTGCTCAATACGCGATCTTCAACAGCTATGATCGCTGCAGTTGGTCGGTACGAGGCCACTCGGGTTCTTAGGAGGCTCGTGTCGTCTCTGTTCAGCGTCAAAGTTCCGCAAAAGCAGGACGTTACTGCAATGGGGAAGATTATATGTGACCTCCAAGAAAAGATTGATGAGAGAATAAACAGAATACCTGCAAGAGGCATACCAGAGATGGGATTTGTCCCACCTGGTGGTGCTGATGAGGAGAATTCGACGGAGGCTGAGAAGCTGGAAAACTTCAACGGGTGGGCGAGGACGATGCTCAGTTTGATGTATGACAAATGCTTCTCTGTCCTCTACCAGCCGTTCCTAAGAACCATTCTAAGTATGCAGTGGCAACATGCCCGCCAATGGTAAGTACCCATAATTTTAAACTCACCTGATTGGCTGGATTTGCTGACTCTTCTCTCCGTTCAGCTCTCTACATGCATGTCATCGCCTCCTCAGGAAATTCATCTTCCTGTCGACCTCTCCAGCATTCCGACCATACTTTTGGTTTTTACCTGGAACAGTGGGTCCACTCTCTATAATGTGATTTGCTCGGGCATGGGCTGACAAGGAATGTAGTATCAACCACTTCACAGTTGCATGATCATACTACTAGATCTCTATAACAGTCCTAACTCAGATGAGGCCCGCCCTAGTCAGAAGCTACTCGACGAAGTATTTGAGCTATTCGGCCCAGATGGGAATGGGAATCCGAATTCCACTTCTGGTGCCTACGATGCACTAGCTCAACGCCCTCTTGTAGAGGGTGGCAAAGAGGCGTGGGCTATGATGGCCAGATTCCGAGCCAAGGCCTATGCCAGAGCATCCGGAGGGGTTCATTTGCTGCCACAGCAAGGTCCCCCTTCTAATCCCGCTGTCGCTGCCGCTGCCGCTGCCAGCACTTCTAAGGCCAGCAAGGTATCTCAGGTAGCCTCCAGCGGGCGGCAAGGCTTCACGGAGAAGGAGATAGATGAAATTATTGAGCGTAGTATACGCAAACCTGGCCAACGGTCAACAGATCCGCAGATGCTCATATCCGCATTGACCCCATCGGAACAAGAAAACGGCATTGCTGCTTCAGAAACATCCCTAGTAGCGGGACCATCGCCGCCCTTGTCGAACGCTTCGGCAGTCCAAGAGTCCAGGCCTCAGAACTTGGACTATTCTGTTGTTGATGACTTGCCAATATTTTCTGAGATAAATAATGGAGGGCATGGATACAATCCACCGGATCAGTCCTATACAAACCAGGGCTTCCAAGGAGGGCTATCATTTTCGCCCAATGATTTTATGTCATACGACAATGGATATACTATTGGTGGGGTCAGTCTCGACGCTGCTGGCTATCCCGTCATCATGGCTCCAGGAGTCATGTACAATATGGAGACGGGCCAAGCTCAGGTACAATACGAGGACCACGGTGGCAATGTGGATTCTCGGAGCAGTAACGAGAGCCATAACAATGAAATTTTTATGGATATGTCGAGAGATAATATTGACTGGCATGCCTGGGACAAGACGTTCGGAACCTATGCAAGTGTTTCCCAAAATTCGGACATGTTGTCGAACGCTCTACACGAGCCTATGCAAATTCCTCCGGATAATTTTTCTAGAGAGAATAATTTCGTGTAACTGTCGGTTCGGTTTAGAATTCCCTCGAGAAGAAAACCCGCACACCTTTGCTTTTCTTGTTCGTATCAGTCGACGATTCGGGAAACCCGTCAACTGACAACGTCTGTGCACTTGCGTCGAGTATCATGGTATTTCTTTTTGATTTGCTTCTATTTTGCTTGAACGGCGTGAATGGAGTACGGTTCCATAAATCATTTACCACTGGTGTTTCAAAGATACTGTTACTTACCGTCTTGGGTCTTCATTTTGTCCCTTACTACTATCAAAACGATGTAGGAAGCAAGCTAGCTTCATTTTTTTGACTTTCATGCAAGTTCCTCTTTGTGAACTACCTCTTTCTCGCACGGAGAAAATTTTCTGATCAATCAACGGCGTTTATTTTGGATCACAGCGAGTTGATGCGAGGGCAAAAGTGGAGAGTGTCTGCCATGTATGTGTACCTTCCGACATGTACATACTCTGGGCTCCACCCACTTCCTTTCTATCGGTATGCATTTTCGATCTAAATTTCTCGATTGTTCGGCTCTTCGGATCCACTTTACTCCATCCCCGTCTCGACTCGTCTCGATGCACGGCTCCTTGGTTCGTACATACACAGCAGTAGTACCTTAAACCTTTAGCCCCTGTCATGGCCACTAACTTGCTGAATCTTGAAACTTTTCTATATGCACATTCTTCGCGGGTGATGAGGCGTTAATCTGTGCACCATCTTTTCGTCACTCTCGCGCAGACCGAAGCACGTATAGACAGGAGATATATTAAATAAGAATATGCTTGTGACTAAATGAAAAGACAAATACAGAGATATACAAGGAAAAATTAAAACAAAAAAAAAAAAAGTAATCCTAATCATATCGGCAGTTTTATTACGCCACGGATTGCTGAGTGAATAGTGGAGGTCAGGTTCAAATTTTCGTAGTGGGATGCAGCTTCCCCCTCTATTTACCAAGGCTACTTAGGTAATACGTATGTACATGCATGCGTTAGTTATGTTTATAAGTATCTGATGCCGTACATACCTCGGTATTTCTTGATAGTACTATTAATTAATCCGTCGGTTGCAATTGCGGTACGTATACTGCGGTTTAAAAAGACTGAACAAGGATCATATTTAGTTAGCGGGGCTATATAATACACGTATGTTCCATCAGATAATGAAGCAGCTAGAAGGCAATCGATCATGGGAGGACCCAGATACATAGAAGTGTTCTGTTGAGGAGTGTGGACGTCATGTCAGCACTCTTGGTCAATATCGCAGTACCCTGTAGTACTATACTGACCTAGGTAGTTTGAGGTTAGGGCTGGTGGTCTTACCAGTCGTTCTCTTTTCCAGCTATGCGTGCGTTCCGTTATCAATATCTATATGTGATATGCAATATAGGTATCTCACAATCGACTAATGGGCATAAAGTATATATAGTACTTACATTATATTGCATGGGAACATTCTACATAACCACATATACATCGGATAAAGTGATAAAGAACCAGGGTCTGGCATACACAGTTCGGGTACGAGCGTGTCCATGCATGTAGATCAAGTCGGAAAGTCACCCTCCGTGCCAATCCAGGAATGTCCAGGTTCTTGTGGAAAGGGAAAAAAATAAATATATATATTCCATTTTTGGCTTCAAATCACGAAGCATTTGATGTTTAAACATGAGCTTTAACCTTTTTTTAAAAAATTTTTGGTTTTTATCCCTTTCTCTGAAACCTTGGCTACGAAAGGATTAGTTTCGTGGGGGTTCACAAAGATCTAGAGGCTCAATCGAGCGAGAGAAACTGTGATTCCCGAGGCGTACGGCCAGGTAGGAGAAAACGTCACTCTTTGGACTTGAATCCACATATTGAAATGGCTTTTCCTTGGCCTTTTGTAATATTTCCTTGGAAAACGTATCGGTATGTCGTCAGTTCATCGAAGGGGTTCCGCCAACTTCAAGGTTTGCATTTGGAATTAATAGTTTACGGCAATATGATTGCAAATCATACGATTTTTTTGAGGGCATTCGCGGTTAAGCCTCACTATCGATCGTCTAAAGAATTCCATGATTTGTCAGTATCCAATACTCTCTTCCTCAAGTATCTGATCACACGGAGTTAGCAGGTACATAGACGTTGATTTCTCGAAATAATATTCCTCAACCCCCGGAAATTGAAACAGGCCCATTTCCGCTTGGCCTCTCAATAGGTTTCCCAAAGAGGATGTGATCAGGAGGAAGAATCGGAGCATGGTCACTAAAAAAACTTTCGCATCGTCGGATTCCTCCCTATGTGGCCTCGTATGCTGTCGAAGGACCCACAGCGGCTTGCTACAGAAAATCGTGGCACGCGGCGGGATCCACAATTTTTGTGAAGAATAATGCGCATAATTATAATGTTCACGCTGATAACTATAGATTTTAGGGCTCCGTGATTTCCCGTACGCCTTCGTCACAAAATCTCTATTGCAAAGTTGAACAGGCTGGCCTATTTCAGGAATCAGGGCTTGTCCGCCTGATCATATGATGTGATCGCATTGTATTCCTCTAAAACCGAAGCTTTGGAAAGAGCTCATGCGCTCGCTGCAAAATAACGAATATACTCTTTCCAAACTGTCCGGCAGCATAGATACTTATGCATATTATCACTGGTCTCCCCGAGACCCTGATTAGCATCTAGCATTGAGATATCTGCGAGTTATGGTGATACATGGTGCTAGAAGGAGCCCCGCCTATATCGAGTTTTATCCACGGGAAACTGCCAGGACATCGGCATACGCATGGCTTCCCCTCCAAAAAAAAAAAAAAATGCGTGGTTGGTCGAGTTGCAAAGCTGCACATAACAGCACGATCTGGACCAGGGTGCATTTTGACGGAAAAAAAACATGGGTATTTGAAGAGTGGGACATATGACGGGTGGTGGGGATATATTTCAAAATGCATGGGGTCAACTGAAGAACCCAACGGGAAACCATTAGAATTCCCCAAACTATCCCTTTCAATGCCAAAAAGAGACACCGCCTGCAAGTTCGTCCCCGTAGAACTTGTTGATATCAAGAGAGAATCGACGAAAGGAGTACAGTTTAGCGACAAAATCCAAGTTTTATCGTCGAGCTAGCTGGTCTTGTCCCGAGTTGGGGCAAGGGCCTGTTATTAAGACCCCTTAGCAGCCCAACTCCGAGATCTCAATACTCTGTATTGATCCGCAAAGCGAAGCTAACCTATGTTGTCCTTTTTGTCCATAGTGCGCTCGACCCGCTGCCAGTTTGCAAATCCTTCGGGTCAAACCAAAATTCCATTCTATTCATAATGGATTCCCAAATCGATATGCCAGCATACATGTAGATATCAAAGTCGCAGCGCTCCGCACCGCACGAGATCTAGACCTTGAACTTATCAACACCAAAGAAGAGCCCCGCTAAATAGTTCCCGAACAAGTTAGCAGAGCGAAGGGCTCCACCTGAACTTTCTTTTCACCAACGGCCCCGCGCAAGAGCAACGGCGGACCGATCCCGCAACCGCGAAAAGCTGGACGCCGACCCTTTACATCGGGGGGAAACAGTCACCTGCTTGCCGAGAATAGAATCCGGGCACTAATGATCAATATCGTTAGCCCGTCTGACAATGCAACAAGAACTCTAACTATTCATATTCTCTTCCTAGATTCTTGGCTTTTCATTCGAAATGCTTTTCCCTTGCAATGCAATTGGTGATCAATTTGTCGGAAAGTCCGCATAAGGATTAGTGGCGTACCCACATGCCTTATGTTTCAAGTTTCAACCTCATTCTGATATCCATTTGATCATTTATGTCCGAATCTTTTGAATCTGTACCCTTCTCCAACTGACCCCAAAACTCCCCTTTCGACCGTGATATCGATCACGATCCAACAGCTTAACTTCAGGCTTTGATTTCACACGGCTCGGATATTATACGCCGAAACCCGGTTTTCGAATTTTTTTCTCTTTCTGACATCCCTGAAAAAATCCATAACCACCTGCATACAGCAAAAGCAACTATTCTGCGTTGTTTCGTCACATCACAACAGTAGTATGCAAGGGAATATAAGAAAAAGTTGCGAGATCAGGTACCACCACACGATATACGTTTCTTTTCTTATTTTTCCGTTCTTTCTTTTTTCTTTCTGTTGGAAGGAGATGAATTCCCACAGGAACATAAGATGTTTCGGAGACAGGTGGACAAATTGGCCTCGGTGTTGGAGCCAGGTGTGGCGAGTGAGGTATTGAGGCGCTGTATACCGTACCGGTCAGCTGACACGCACAACCCCAGGCCTGACCGATCTCGACACACCCAATACCAATATTTTTGCCCACCGATAAGCTTGGAAGGATACAAATAATATATCCGAGGATTTCTCCACTCCTGTGCCCAGTTAGGCAAAGCCGCGGAGAATGCAATGTGAGTCGTTTTGTTGTGGTAAGGTTTCACGGTCTGGGCGGTTGTATAATCCTGGGAGGGGTGTCAGATATGTTAAAACCGAATGGTTCAGCGGAACGACGGAACTTGTCAGCTACCTTTCGAAACAGACGGGAAATAGCTGGTATGTGGCCTTAAATAGGCAATTATTAACGACACCGGGCAACACAAAGATCCCTCGAGGACGCCTGGCCAGGGAAAGAATCTCGATCCGTCGACAGCCGTTGACAACTTAGCTCGCTGCATTCTGTTGGACTGGCATTAGACAGAGGATATTATAAGCGAGAGTACTAGGGCCTTTGCGTAAAAATATAAACAATCAGCTGGTCTTGGCGGTATAGGGAGTGTCCCAGGGTTCGGAAAGCTTTCTTTACTTCTTTCCTTCATTTGATTTTCTGGCCTCTTCATGTCAAGGCCTCAAGGGGATGATGGTTTTACCGCGCTAGTTCACGCTTTGAACCAAAAACGGCACATCAAGGTTTTAATATTCACAATCATCGCAAAGTTAATTTGAATATAGATAAGTCCGAGCAGATTTATTATATTATACTGGTTACAAAGGTAACGTATCAATGGTCAGACTGA